TAACAAAAAATATATATATTTTATATTTTTAATAAGTTGATATACTAATGGCTAAATTTCTACTTAAAGATATGTATGTACTTTTTTTTGTATATATTATAAATATAATTGTTTTATATTTTTCTTCTAGCGAAGCAGAAGTAAGGTCCAATTACTATATTTTGCAAATTAAATTATTTTTTGACAAGAAATATTATTATTGTTTATTGTTTTCATTATTAATCTCTATGATATAGTATAGTATATGGCTTTTCTGTAAAGCTGTACACCATGAAACTTCATGGAATATATGTATGTATACATATGTATATATGTATGTGTCTGTATAAAAGTGATATAACAATAACAAAAATAATTAGAGCTCTTGCACACTCCTCAACTCATTTCTTGTCCATGAAAAACGCGCCGAACAAAACGAAGAAGAGAACAAGTGATAAAATTGATTAAATTTCGATTCGTACATAGAAAACGTTGTGATAAAGCCCGAAGCAGAGAACACGTTTTTGGCATTACATAAGCAGGCTGAAAGCGTGGCAGACTGACAGAGAGGCAGGCGAGCGGACAGAGACAGGATTATGGGTCGAAAACAGGAAAGCAGACAAAACAAAAACCGGAAGAACAGGAAAAAGTGGGCGAAATGTCAAAAACTGGACAGCAGAGCGAAGAGTAACAAAAAAAAGAAGCAGAAGCAGCAGCAGCAAAAGAAGAAGAGACCAATAACAGCAGCAGGCGACTAAGGGAGCGGCGGCGGCCTGTTCTATGCTGCTGCCCACTCGAAAAAAATAACCAGCATTATACAGCGCGCACCTCATCCTTCGCCTTCTTCATTGTCGCAGCCAGCAACCGCCAGCAGTATCGTGCAGTCAGTCCTTGGGTATTGCGAAAAAGAGCCATAGAAATGGCGATAAAACAGAAAATGTGCAAAACCAACACGAATGCAAAAGGCAATAGAGAGTGCAAGTAGGCAAGTGAGTTGCCTGTGTGCGTGTGTGTGTGCGAATAAGCATGCTGTTGGTAGTGAGAGTATATGTATATGTATATGGATACATACATTCATATGCTTGCATATATACACACATATAAACGAAGTGTTAAACGAACGCAACACGAAGTTGCTTTCAAGGTCTGGAGCGCAGGCAGCAGACAGCAGGTTCTGGAAGGCAGCGACGCCAACGCAGCGTCAGCCGTCACATTCCATTCCCGCTGCAATTGCACGAAGTTGCCCTTGGACTTGCACTTGAAAACCGAGTGACGGTAGCGACTGCGCGTCTGCTGCTGACGTCGACGTCGGCATTATGTTGGAGTTGTGTTGCATGCTCGGCACGGCCGGCTCCTAATGCGCGCGCATGCCTCAAACCCAACTGCAGTTGCGGTTGTCGCTGCCGCTGCTGCAATCGCTGTCGCTGCTGCAGTCGCTATCGCTGCTGCTGCCGCAGTCGCAGTCAGTGTGGCCGCCATCAAACCAAACGCTTCGTTCGTTTTGCAGCAAATTTCGTTTTCATGCAGCAAATTTCAATTTTATGTTATAAAATCGCACGCACACAGCTGCAGCCATATGATTATGCAGCTGTATGGGTGTGTGTGTGTGTGCATGCATAATGCACACGTTCTTCTGTGCTGCTTATGTGCATGTGTGTGTATATGCATGCATTTTTGGCTTTTGCCATACTTCCTTTACGCCGTTTGCCAATTTTTTTGTTGCTGCTGTGTTCACTCGTCTCTCTTTACCACTACCGCCAAAATAATGTTGAAGGTCAGCGTGTTAGTGTAAATTCAGTTTTTAAATATGTACACACACATCTACATATACATATGTAATATGTAAATGCGTGTGTGTGTTGTGTGCTTGTATGCTTGTGCAAAAGCCACCCACACGCATTTGCTTTGAGTTGGTCCTATTGCAAGCGCTAAGCATCATCTGTGATGAATTTTATGACACTTTGATTCGGCGTGTATAACAGTTATTAGAGAACCGATTCTTATTGCTGCTATGACTTATGTAAAAGTGTTATACATATTTATACATGTGTATACACACATCTACATATATATATTTATATTTATGTAAGTATGGATATTTGCCTCGCTTTCAGGTACAGTTTGAACCAGTTCGACTCAAGCTAATTAGCTGAACTATAATTGAAGTTATCGTTAATCGATTCGTTCAGTGTAATTCTACGACACATTCTAACATGCTAATTTTTCTCAGTGTGCAAATGTATAATTTATTTATTTCTATATACTCTTTCCTAGCTCAGCTAATTAAGTTCCTTGAACTTAATTAATAGTGAAAACAATTAGCTTAACTTTTAATTGTAAAGTCATAAATATAAATAAGAAATTTACCGTTTTGTTGAAAAACTAAAGGAGAAAAGTTTCCTCAACTTTTCCATACTGCGAAAACATAATTTTTTCTGGTGGGAATTATTGCATTACGCTAAAAAGGTATAAATAATGATAAATCAACTAGCTTACTTCAGTAAGCGGATAATTGTGAACTGCAAATATTGTGAATAGAGCGATTTAACTCCAACAATGATTTTCGAATATATCAGGAAACCAGATGGGGAAAATCTGCTTAGAGCCCGTGAAGCCTACAAATACGTCGATGATATTATGGTCTTCTTGGGCTGGGGCTCGACCGAGGGGCGTGGCAAAATAAATCGACGATTATATAGACTGTATACGGTTTTGGTCGTCATCTTCAGTCTATATCTTCCCTTTCTATTCGCTCAGTCGCTCATGTTAACCATAGATATATCCCATGCCGATACTCTATTCACCACGCTCGAGGTGTTCTTCAACGGCCCCGCCTATACGATCAAGTCGGCCATAATGCTTCGCAATAGATGGCGTGTGGACAAGGCCAAGGATATGTTGGACGTGATGAGCGAGCGTTTGGTGACATACGAAGAGCGAGTGAGAGTTCATCGATTGGCCGTCAACTGCAATTACATAACACTTCTATATCGGTTTGTATACACTATACCAACGACACTGAATCTAGTATATAGCGTCTACTATGGATATCCGCCTCTAAATTTGTATAATCCATTTGTGGACTGGCATAAGGATACGCGCAGCCTTTGGATCGCAGCACTTTACGAATATTTCCTACAGATCTTTGCGGTCCATGCCTTCATGGCATCGGATTCTATGCCTCTGATATTCGGGCTGACTGTGCGATCCTATACACAATGGCTGACAGAGCGGGTCGAAAGATTGCGCAATAATCCCAAAAGACCTGAGGATGAGAACTACCAGGAACTTGTTCAATGCATCAAGGATCATCAGCTTATTGTGGAGTGAGTGAAAAGAGTATATAAATATATCTAAGTTGTATATGGGAGGGATTTATAATTGAATATTATTGAATTGAATATTACATTTTATTATATTCGTATACTCGTAAGAAATTTTCATTTTTAGTCTTGTGTCTTCCATTTTGCATCTTCAATCATTTTCTATCTCAATAAATCCTCATTTTTTAAATTCAACTTTCAAACTCAATTCTTCTATCATCTATCTTCTATTTCAGTCTTCCATTAGGATCAATCAATCTATAATCTTGAGTGTACCATTTTTCATCTTCCATCTTCAATCTACAATCGTTAAACTTCTTACCTCCACCTTCAATATTCAATCTGCAATCTCAAATCGTCAATTTTCCATTCTTAATCTTCAATCTTTCATTAGGTACAGCGAGAACATGCGTCCTCTGATCTCTATTGCCTTGTTTGTTCAGTATACCACAGCATCCTTGGTGATGGCTTCATCACTCGTTCATTTGGTGACTTTTGCGGATATGGTCTCGGGCATTACAACCACCATTTATATGATCTCCTGTATGTTTCAAACATTTCCAATTTCGTACATCTGCGAGCAGATAGTTGAAGACTGTGAACTACTATCCATGGCTATATTTCATTCGAATTGGATCGGTGCGCCTACCGCCTACACTTCGGCCCTTAAGTATTTCATTCACAGGACCCARCAACCAATCCAATTTATAGCCGGCGGCGTATTCCTCATATGCCTGAACGTAAATATTCAAGTAAGTTGATATGTTTCATGGTATTTGTTTGGAATTACATATATTGTCTCCTCTCTCCCTCTCCCCCTCTTTAAGGTGGCCAAATTTGCATTTTCTTTGACCACATTTGTTCAACAGATGAGCGTATTTGAAAACTTTGATCGTTAAATTACCGGAAAACCGTTTATTAGAAGCCATATTTAAATAAATATATATTCTTGACTTATAAATGAGATAGAAAATGCACTACAAAATAGATGCACTACAGAATAGATTATAAAATCATATAATGCACTTTGTTCAATAAATATATAATTTGGAAATTAAAATAGGTTTTTTTTTTTTTTAAATAATATATGCACATATACATATAAATACGATTGGTTTATTGTAAAGCTGATATTATTTCACATTCGATTCTGACTGTGGGAATTTTGCCAGATTCTGTTTTGGATTTATAATGAATTTCTTCAATTGGTGATACGTCCATTTAGAAAGAAATAACTGACACATTTTTTCTCAGCCATAGATTAAATATTCCCTCAATGACTTGCACAAAATAAAAAGTCGCGAGAACTTTCTATATAATTATGAAGAAAAATTATTTGTTTGCCATCTGGAATATTGAATACACTTTAGATTTATGTGATATATATATAGAGTAATACGAAATTCTACTTTATTTATTTTGTTGATTTTATAAAGAGATATATCAGTTTCGAAATTGAATGAGAATAATGCTTTAAAATTGGTGATACATATATAATTTCATATATAAATTTAAGATTCATAATTTTTTGGATTAATTACATCATTATCATCATCATAACCTTTCATGGAGTAGCTAAGCAGTAAAAGATTTTGATTGAAATAAATTTATTTAAAAGTTCTCAAAAATTTCAACAGAAATTATACTACAGAAAACCGAAGAGCCTATATGCTTATAGCGTATAAGAATTTGCATATCATCAAATCTTTCATTTTTTTCAATTTAAAGCAACAATCTAGAATATCTAATTTGTCCATAGACCTATATATAAAGCAATTTCCAGTCAGATTTCGTCAGTTAACTTGAGCTTTGAGTGCTGTAAGAAGATTTTTGTGGAAAAATGAAATTTAAATATCTTCGAGAAGCTGAAGGGGAGAATCTGTTTCATTCGCGCCATGCCTATAAATATCTGGACTATATGTTGAGAAATTTGGGATGGGGCTCGACAGCATCGTATAGCTATATGAAAAAGCAACTCTATAGAGTTTGGACTGGTTTGGTCGTGGCCTTTACACTATATGTTCCGGTCCTATTCGTACAGTCTCTGATGTGGACCATAGATATATCCCATGCCGATACTCTATTCACCTCTCTGGAAGTGTTTTTCAATGCACCCGCCTATACGATCAAGTCGACAATAATGCTCCTGAATCGATGGCGCGTGGATAAGGCCAAGGATCTGTTGGACGTGATGAGCGAGCGTTGCGTCACATATGAGGAAAGAGTCGAAGTCCACAAATTGGCAACTCGCTGCAATTATATTATATGTGTATATCATGTAATATATTTTATACCGACATCTCTGAACCTGGCCTATGCCATCTCGACGGGTATACCGCCATTGAACCTATATAATCCCTTTGTGGACTGGCGTGACGGTACTCGCAGCTTGTGGATCGCCTCGATCTTGGAGTATTTCCTACAGGTATTCGCCATCTATGCCACCTTGGCACTGGATGCTACTCCTTTGATATTCGGATTGACTGTAAGGGCCTATATCAAGTGGCTCCATGTGAGGGTGGAACGATTGCGAATGCAGACTGATATGACTGAAGATGAGAACTACGAGGAACTAGTGCTATGCATCAAGGATCATAAACTTATTTTAGAGTAAGTATATCTATATATCTCTATATAACTATATAATTAACTCTCTTCAGCTACTGTGAGAACATGCGTCCTCTGATCTCTCGCACAATGTTTGTTCAGTATGCGACTGTATCGTTGGTGCTGGCTTCGACTTTGATCCATTTGGTTTCATTTGCTGACTTGATATCGGGCATTACGACGGCTATATATATGACGGCTAGCTTGTTTCAAACTTTTCCATTCTCATATACGTGCGATCTGATTGTTGAAGACTGTGAAAATTTAGCCTTGGCCATATTTCATTCGCACTGGATGGGCTCCAGTCGACCTTATAAATCGGCTCTAGTCTACTTCATACATAAGGTACAACAGCCGATTATCTTTCTTGGCGGCGGGGTCTTTCCCATATGCCTGAACATAAATATTCAGGTAAGATATTATTAGTTTGACATTTTTTAAGTGAAAAATAAAGTATACGATCCCTTTATAGGTAGCGAAGTTTGCATTTTCGCTGATGACTTTCGTACAACAAATGAGCATATTCGAAAACTTTGAGAAGTAATCAGAGCAATATATGTTTTAATTGAATTAGTTTTGGATGAATTATATACATTTAATTATACATTTAGTAATTTGATATTTAATGCACCCACGTCACTTTTTGATTAAAACTAAAATAAATAAAATGGTTTACTAATAAAATATTTCATATTTTAAATGATGGGTTCTATGATTACGATGTATAATTTCTCCTGAGTCTATTCGTGGATATATGCCAGAGACCTATTGGTCTAAAATATTTGTAGGTTAGGTATATATGTATATAAATGTAAATAAATATATGTCCATATACTAGAGGACGTATACGAGGACTCTCTCTAATACTTATTAGCCCAACTAAATGTCTATACCAATTTTTATTTTATTTTTAGCAATTTATTTTATCTTTTCACAAATACCCAAATAGTGCTCGGGTTTTCCGATATATTTGAGATACATTGAAAACATATTATTATCTCATGAATTTTGTAAGTCTATTCGTATCAATCTTTGTATCTCGTATCTATCTATCTTTGAGTTAGATACGTATCTATGTTATTGCCCTAACTTTCTATTTTCCCAACAAACCATTTAGAAATTCTCATTACTAACAGAGTTTTTACCTTCATTTTCTTTAGCCACTCCACGTCTGTGTAGGTCTACCTGAATGTTCAGCCATATTACAGTTGATTCCACATTTGTATGGGCGGAGTTAGCTAGGTGTAGGCACTGAAGGAAACATTTAACTATACTTAGACGAGAATACATGTACATACATATATACATATATGTATACACTTTGTTGCCCTACTACGCTTATTACAGTTAGTATTTGTATAGATGTACCCATATACATATGTATATATAAATGTATTTACTCTCTCATCTGTAGAAAAAATAACCCCGAAACAAGTGAGCCGAAAAGTGCGTGCGCCTCAAAATCTTCGTCTCCTTGTCCTTGTCCTTGTCCCTGCTAATGCTCTCTCTCTAGCCCTCCCTCTCCCACTTACTCCTTCTCCTCACTCTCTGTCTTTCTCTCGCGCGCGTACTCTCTCGCTTTCGTTACATGCCAACACAAAGGACAAATGAAATTTTAGCTCTGTTGCGCTGTCTCGTTCACTTTCACTTTCTGCTTTCACACACTCACACACACATACATACAAACAAAATGAGATATGCTATACAAATACATATGTAAATACATGGATATACATACATATACGTACGTATTGGGCATGCCTTTATACTTATATTTGTGGGTAGGTAATCTAAACAAAAAAACTCCGTTCTAGAGTTAAATCTATATATGTATACTAAACTTTTGGGGATAGTTTTATCTCTATACTAAATATTCAGGTTATCTTTTTTCTTTAACAGAGGCTGGAATTTTGTTTTTTAATTTTTGTACTATATTTGATAGGGTTTCTTTCATAATACCATAAAAATATTGACACAAAAAAAAATATTTTTAAATTTTAAAAATATTTTTCTATAATATTCTAACAAAAACTTTGCTTTAATACCAGCATCTACTTTAAGAAAATGGATTATAATATATGCTCGGTATGCCTGCTATATAATCTACATCTCATATATGTATATATACACATAGAATCTATATTCTAAGGATTTCATATACCATACTCAACAATCCGGGAGAACTGCAAATAGTTGAAATGTTGGTTTTTGGGCCATTTTCAATTGCAAATGCTGACTTCATTTGGTTTACATATGTAAGAGAGAGGGGGAAGAATGGAAAGAGGGAGACAGATACTCCAACGCTCAAGCTGAATTAATAAGAGAGGGCGCCCAAACCCCACATTAACGCCCACGCCCCCAGAGCCATGGCAAACCAAAAAATGAAACGAAAACGCAAAGTGGAAAACAAAATGGAGTTTGAGTTATTTTTGGCAAACGAAATAACGGCACCCTTCGTGCACAGCTGGGCTCATAAAGAGTGTGTCTATATATATATATACATCATATATACCAGATATACTTTATGTATATATACAGTTGTGGCGTTATGTACTCGACTGTGGACAGTGGTTGTCATGCCAGCATGAAAAATTTCAAACCCTATTTTGGGTTTCAAAGCCGCTTCCGATTGGATAAATGCGGGAGTATGGGTAATTACAAATAATACCCAGCCACACGCATACAAATAAATATACATACACATATATACACATTTATATATGTACAGGGTATATGGGGATCTGTGCATCTGCTGTGTACCACTGACACACCCTCGATAGCCTCAGCTGAGAGCGGTAGGGGTCGAAAGGGGTATGGGTGCTACGGCCGCTACCACCGCCAACTTAATGCGAACTTGATTTTTGCATGCATCAATTTTAAAGTGAGAGTACAGTGAAATCCATAAAAGTTGAAGAAGAAGAACTACTAAAACACATCACGCACCAGAGTTGCTACAGATGTGCGGAATATAATACGATTTGGTATGAGAACGAATCTTTCACATAGAAAATCTCTTTAGTTTTTTTATTTTTATATATTTAAATAAATTGCGTTCAAATTTGATATATTAATTAAAGTAAGATTGTACAAGAAATTCAGTTTTTCATACAGAGAATGAGAGTTAATATACATTTCAGGCAAAATTAAAGATATTGGATCTCGAATACAAATTATGGTACAAAATTTAAGATATACAAAAAAATGGAAATGTTGATATAATATATAGAAAGATAGAGATAGATATATATGTATGTATATAGATACAGAGATAGATGGGTATGCCATTAAATTATTTATTACATATTTTTTTGATGAATTGGGAAAATTGGAAAAATTAAAGAATTTTTAACGTTATGTATAAGTAATTCAATAAACACATTAATTTTTGGTAAACATATTAAAAAATTATTCTTGAAAATTTCCGTAAGTTTCACCATATATATATTCACCATACTTAAATATTATTATTTATTTCATAGTCATTCCATATGCAAATTCCTTTAGTTATGAAAATCATCGAATGTATCTTGTTGAAGGATTAACTGAAATGCAATTCGTAGGTTCTCTCTCCAAAATCTTTTAATTTTGGTGCAAGAAAAATAATTGCTAATGCTCAAGTAAATTCAAGTCTCTTATGAGTACTTTAGCTGTGCATTCGCCGAGCTTTCACTGTACTTGCAGGTTTGTTTGCGTCTTAGCCGCAAAGTTTCCTTCGGCACCAAATATCGACACGCTTTCTCACACGCAAAACAGGAAGTCTTGGTCTTGGTAGTCTTCATGCTGGGTGTCAAAAGGCGATGTTTAGACCGACATTTATTTATGGCAACCCAGACCATGCCCATGCCCATGTCCAGGGGCTACGTCTTCTGCAGCCTTTAGTTGCCATTAATTATGAAAATTAAAGTTGATGCGTGTCGTCGTCGTCGTCGACGTCTACGTCGCGACTCGCGACGTCGCCAAACCTAAAGCTGAAACTGAAGCTGAAGCTGAATTATGGTCCCAGCCGCAGGGCTGCAAAATTCTCGCTGCACTGCGATCCCCCAGTTTCATTTTACTGGTCATTAAAATTAGGTCAGCGCAGAGACGCACACAATAAAATAATAAGTAAAGAAAATAATAATAAAGGAGAAAAGAAAAGAACTCACGAAGCAAAGCAACGCAAACTAGTCCAATTCCAACTTCCTCCGTTGACGCCTGGTTCTTTGTTCTCTTTTCTGTGTGTATATCATTCCCTCTCTCTCTCTCGCACTTGATTATTCTTTACGCCTCGATCCTTCCAGCTAGAATACCAAACAAGCACATGCACACATACACACATGCACACATGTTCGCTCACCCATTCACACTGTCGAACTTATTACGCAATGGCTGCGATCTGCCTACCTGACTTAATTATTATATCAGAGCAGCTACCCCTCGCGACGCTCCCTCCGCACACACTCGCATTCAAGCTCACACACACATGCAGGTAGACAGGCAGGCAGGCACAAAAGGTGGCCCAAAAACTACGCAGTTTTTGACTTTGCCAGTTGGACGCGACCAAGGCCTTGACTTTATGCCAAGTCCTTCGTTAACGAATCCTATAAGAAACACAAACACACATGCAAACAAGTTATCCCCATTAATGTGTGCCTGTATGTATTTTTGTTTTCATTTGATCTACTTTTTGCATACATACACATGTACGTATGCATGTATGGACACTTTGCAAGACACGTGCGAGCAGCACAGCTGCAAACCTATCGAGTTTTTGATCGTTATGTTATCGATATATTTAAAATTCATACACATGTACAAATGTTCATAAATAAATACATATGTATGTATACAGTTTATAAATCATTTAAATTATTGCTCTATCAGCAAAAGTTTTCACTTTCCAGCAGATGATGGGAGTCTGAATTCGTATCTGCTTGTTCATACATACATATATGTATATGCACATACATACGTATACATACCACAGTACATGCGCCAGTGACGTTAGTGCATCGATAGTACATGAAAGTTACATATGTAAATATGGTATTAAATACATACATACATACACAAAGTCTCTAATATATCGCCTGAAATATGTACATACATACATACATATTATTAGTGACATAAACAGGCACATGCACATACATATAGACACACTTGCATACATACAAATGTATTTACATACATATGTATGACTGTGTATACAACTAGAAGTACACAAATACGTACATATGTACGTATGTATGTATATGCATATGTACGTACGTATATATGTATATATGTATGTACATATAAAGCTCATCCTACACGTGCCCTTATTTTGGGTTTTGCCTTTGTTATTTGTTTTCGTCCTGTTCCGCAACACGCTTTGCTTTTCGATTTTAATACAGGACTCTAAAAGGGAAGCAGCACAATTCAAACGTACATAAGCAAGCAACACATACACAGAAATATATATGTACAAATAATGCACATGTATACACACATACATTCATACACACAAGTAGAAGAGCAGTCGATGATGCGAAGAGCGCAACAGAGAACAGCGACGATACTGACACCAACAGCGAAAAAGCATCAGAGCGGTGTAATAAATTATGGAATACCCTACATTATTGAAGTGCAAGAATTCATATGTCTATGCTCATCATTTTATTTATGTAAATCAAATGAAATTTAATCCACAATAATATGGCTTGTTATATTTTAGCGAGTTTTTTTATTCACATGCACCAAAGAAAATATTTTCAGCATGTTTAGAGAAGTGCATACTCCTTGCAGCGTGCCAAATAGTTCGACTTGGCTCGCATGTTTCCATTTTGCTTTTGCTGTTTTATGCCTTCTTCAGCTTGCTTTTTTAATGCCTCTTTTATTTTTGTTCGTGTGCCATTGTGTTAAGTTGCCTATGTATTTGTGCTTATATACGCTAATATTGTAAATGCACATGTGTGTGCGTGTTTTTTGGGATTATATACCAAATTGAAGCACAGTCAGCAGTAGACGGCCTGCAAGGGGTCCCGTTCCTGTCAAAACCAAAACAAAGTAGATGTAGGGAAGATGTACGCACATACTCATACATATGTACATATATGTATATACATATCTATTTGTATTTGTGCACATCTGATAGTCAATAAGGAGACGGGTAAGATACATATTTTGGCACAGGTATCAATACATATTGCGAATTGTACACATCTAGTTGACATGCGAGTATATGTATCTAAATGTATAAATATATTATTAGACTGTATCTAAGAATAAACTTTCACATAAATAAACTTTATGGAATATTCCGATCAGCTGCCAGAATGTTCTTGGTAAATTTTTAAAAGCAAATCAACTCGACAACCCTGCTCAACGCAGTCTGTTGTTTGTTTTGCCGGCTTTTTTGCGTCACACACACACACAAACGACCATAAGCATGACCATGCACACACTAGCGTCATACATGTTGCGCCTGGTGTGCTGTCGAGCATTTTACTGACGTTGCGCAGCGCAGTACAACATGTTGTAGGGGAAACGAGCTGCGTTTGCGTCATGTTCGAGTCGCATTGAAAGTGAATTTGAATAGAACTTTTCTTGCTATCTCCCTTGCTCGTTTACTCAAGTGCCGCAAGCTCCACCAACCAACCCCATGGAAAATACATTGCCAAAAAACCACCCCGCCCGACATCTCGATTTTTAGCGCCAAAACTTGTACGAAATTTTCCTCAAATGAAAAACAAGCATTTTCCGCAGCGAGGTGGCGACGTCGATTTCGGTGGTGGTGGAAAGTGAAACCAGCCAACCAAACCACCCTAACACCCACTCACCCCTAAGCAACAACAACAGCAACAAAATAAGTAAAACTTGCAACTGCGCTGCCAGCGTCGTGGTTGGACCAAACGCTGCCGAGCCATGCAGCGGCTGTGCAACTTGACGGACAACATCGAGCTGCTCGACCCATCCACCCACCAACAACAACAARAGCAACAGAGGCAGAGGCAGAGGCAGCGTCTGCGGCAGCGGCACGGCAGCGGAACGGCAGCGACAGCAGCAGCGCGAATACGTGTGCGTTTGTGTTGCCTCTGCCGGTCGGCTGCGCGATTGTGTGTGTGTGTGTTTCAAATTTCAGTTTCAGTTTGTTGTTCGTCCGGTGGACTGTTCGGCTGCTCGTGTGTACCGTTCGTTTCATTTAGTTGGATTTTCGCTTTTGATCTGGTTGGTTGTGTTTATCGCAACGCTCTCCGTTCGCCGCACTTGATCTAAAAGTTGGAAGTGGCAAAGCGAAACAATGCAAAATCAGCGAAGAACATAATAAAAAAATAAAATAAATAAACGGCATCGAATACATTTTGTATACATATATATATTTTCCTACTCAATAAATAATATGCAGAAAAGACAGTGTGTGGTGTAATAAAATAAAAACAAAAACCGGCGCCGCCAAATAAACAATTTTTGTGCGTGTGTGCGAATTAAAAAAATAAAATTAAATAAATAAAATAAATAAAAATGTAAAAAACAAAATAAATTTTTGATACTAGAAACGCGCGTTGTAAACTCAGCTCAGGTATAAATTTAGCAATAAATTAACAATAAAAAAACATAGACTGCAATTTTGTGTACACTTTTTATACAGTTGAAAAATTAACGAAAATTTTGAAGAACCAAAAATATTTAAACATGCTGAGGCAGTTGCTTAGCAGGGCTTAAAAAATATTTTGTTATAAATAAGAAGCGGAAATAGTTGAGAGCAGCAAAAAATTTGTTAGACACGTGCGAATTTATGGCGCCGCGTCGCAGCAGCAGCAGCGGTAACTCTCAACAGCAGCAGCAGCAGCAACAACTAGAGCTACAACTCCAGCAGCAGCAGCAGGAGCTGCATCTCTACAACTCCACTCTCCACTTCCCGACTCCGCTTTCTACAGCAAACATGGCGCCAATGCAGCAAACGCTCAGCGTCGGCGTTCAGTTGACGCGCTGTTGCTATCCTAACGGTGAATGCACCAAACTGGACACCCTCATCGCCCTGGACGATCAGAGTCGGCTCGGCGACTATGTGCGCGTGGTGTGCAACAATGAGAACTGCAACGAGGGCCAGTATATGCATCGGGATTGCTTCGAGCAGTGGGAGGCGGGCGTGCTGCAGCAGCTGAAGGCGAGCGCTCGGGGTCGCAGCTGGTCGGAGCGGCAGCGAGTGCAGCAGTTGTGGACCAAAAAGGGCTACGATCTGGTCTATAAGAATTGCACCTGCAAGTGCGGCCGTGGGCATTTGCGCAAGGATCTGGAATGGCCACCGACTGGAATTTGTTTCCAGCGGTCGTTGATTGGCAGCGGCGGCAGCGGCAGCGATGACGATGACAAAAAGGCGAAGGCGAAGAAGAAGCGAAATCGCAATACCAATGGAAATGCCAACAATAATAACAACAACAACAACAACTCAGCCAACAACCAAAAACAAGGTGTTGTTGCCCTAGCGCCGATCAACACGAATGCGGCGAATATTACGCCCAATCCGAATGTGGGCGTGATTGGCTCTGGTTTACCCCACAACAACAACAGCAACGGCAGCAACAACAACAGCAGCAGCAATAATCATGCCACTGGCTTGCAGCCCAGTGTTGTGGCAACCCTCAGCAACATACTCATGAGCAGCAACAACAGCAACAACAACATCAATGGCAACAACAACAACAACAACAATCACAATGTGTTGGGCCTAGATTTGCGTGCTCGCGCTGGAAGCCTCTCATCCAGTGGTTCCAGTTCGCCCTCGGCCTCGCAGTCCAGCGCGGACAGTTCGCTCTCGCCCGTGCAGCAGCAACAGTTGCACTATCAGCAACAGCAACAACAGCAGCAATTGCAGCTGCTGCAACAACAACAACAACAACATAACGGTCTCGCCCTGGCCAAGTGCCTGCTGCAGCCACCAACACCGTCAGCAGCAGCAGCAGCAGCACCGCAGCTGCCCTCCTTGGCCAACATCAGCGGATTCAAGCCGCTCGCCAGCTACGATCAGCAGCAGCTCGTGCAGCAGCAGAAGAACAAAGAAGTCGAAATCTACTCGGAACGAGTGCGGTAAGTTAACAGTAAATAATACAGTGCAGCCCTCACTCCTTGCCCCCCTATCGTTCGCGCCTTCACTTGATTGAATTTGAAAATTTCCCAACATGTGGGCGCAATGTCAATAATTCGAAATTCTAAATAAAAGTGAGGAACAAAATTAGAAATTTTTATCTACACTAAATGACAAAATTAGGCAATAACAAAGAAAGAGAATAAAAAATTTATTGAAATATACTTAAAATTGAATAAAATTAAAAATTTTTTTTTGATTGATTGATTTTAATTTATTTTCGAAAGATATTTTTTAATAGCAAATTAAATTAATAGAAAATATATACATAGATAGATACTAACTAAAACTTATTTCATTGAAAAAAAAAGTAATAATAATAATAAAATAAAAAAAAATAAAAAAAAAAATTAACAAAAAAAATTTTTTTTGTCATTATAAAATGTTAATTATATAAACATTGAAGTATTCCATATTTTAAAGATTTTCATCCATGACCATTGCGATTAATTTCTTGTTTGATAGTGTTCGGAAGCAAATGTTTGTTTGTTTGCCGTTGTATTTTTTTTATTTTTTTTTTAATATTGTTGCGCTTATATAACCTTGATATTTCCAAAACGATTCTCACTCGCAAACAGCTGCCAAATATAAAAAGAAGAAGATTAATCGCCGAAATTAATTTAAATTATTTGTAAAATATGTCTTTTGAAATAAATCACAAGATATTTTTTTTTTGTTTTTGTTTTTGTTTTTGTTACTCTTTTTTGTAAATACTTTCAAGGAAGCTCGCTTGCATTATGCAAATCAAGCAAACTTAATCACACCAAGCTAAATGTCTCTTTCTCTGTTTTTCTCGCAGCCTTACTTCCTTTCGCCTGCACAGTACTTTCGCTCTCTCACTCGCTCGCTCACTCTCATTCTCTCGCTGATCTTCCAATGCCTGCCTGCCTCGTCGCATTCTGTTTGCGAATTTCAAGCGTTGCGTTTTTTTTTCGCTTTGCCATTCTGCTTGTTATTTCCTTTTTGGTCGCACGTTTATTATTTATTTATATACGTACGTATGTGTGTGTGTGTGTATGTTTGTACTTGTATTACGAGTTTCACTTTTATCGAATTCAGTTTATTTATTTTGTTTCTCTTCTTTTCTTTCGCTTGTGCGCTTGCTTTATCTGTTTGTGTGTTTTTATCCATTACTTTGGGTCAAGGTTTGGTATTCGCCTGCTCCTTGCCCTCACCGCTTCTCGTTGATTGAAGATTTGCCCTCACACATGCGAAATTAATCATCAAAATTTATTGAAAGCTTCAACAGCCGAAATATATTAAGAACTATGTAAATTCTTACACACATACATATACATCAAGCTGTATATGTGTGTGTATATACTTTTATTTTCATTATGCCCAATTTTAAAATTTCCGTTTCTCAAAGCGAATTCGTCGTTGGGCGCATTAAAATTTATTCCAGTCCGATAAAAAATACAAATGTGTGTGTGTGTATGTGTGGGTGTGTGCGAGCAAAACAAGCAGCAAATGCTAAACAACAACATGACGACTACGAAGAAGAACGAAGAACGAAAAAAAAAATAGATCGTGCTTTTATATTTGGTTGTGGCCCTCTTTTTGCTCTTATTTCTTGTTGATTTCCAAGCTCTTCTCTCATATACATGCATACATATGCCTGTGTGCTCCGCTCTGGGTTTTTGTTTTTCTCTTCTTCTTCGTCTTCTGTTTTGCACAAGATCTGCACAGCCTGAGCCTGTGCCGCTTTACCCTTTCCCTGTCCTTTCATCATGTGTTGCTCGTTCAACCCCGAAAAACAGAAGACAAAAACAAACCAACTTCTAATTCCCTTCATTCGTTTAGGCTCTCTTCTTTGCTGTTTTCGTTGTTATTGTGCTTGCTTTTGTCCAGTTTTCAAGGCCGTAATATTTGTTTTTATTTTTATTCTTTTGGCTCTTTCATTTTCTGTTGTTGTTGTTCTTGTCGCAGCTTTCGAATATTCTTTGTGTCTCTTCTCTGATTTAATTTTGATCTGTTATATTGCTTCCAGCGCACAGTTGTTGCGCCTATGTGACACAGTTGCTCTCTCGCGCTCTTTTACACACTCTCTCTCTTGAAGACAATCTGCAAAGCTTGTGCCTGCTTCTGTTTATGCATTGCAGTTGCTGGTTATCAAGAGAGAGGGAGATGGAGAAAAAAACCGGCTGATGTGTATTATTTTCTGCGTTTGCACTTTTTAATTCATAAAAGCAAACAATTTTTGTTATCGCTTTTTATTTCTTTTGCGTATTTGTTTTTTTTTTTCTGATTTTTGTTGCTTGCTATTTATAGCGCCACACGCGGCGATTTTATTTTTATTTTTGTATTTTTGATAAACAAACGTTTTTAGACATTTTCTGACTTTGCGATTTGTGCGTTTGTAGCTCTTTAATATTTATTTAATTCGCCCTTCCAATGCTRCTGCTGCTGCTGCCGCTGCCGAGCGTGCCTAAGCTTTGCAGATACTCACACACAAACACACATTGTTACTTGTGTGTGGCTCTGTATGTGTAACGTGTTTGCCGGCATTTTCTTTTTATGTATTCGTCGTATTCAATGTCAAGGTTAAGACTTATTTTATGTATTCATTTTGTTTGGGCGTTTGTTTTTATGATTTTTATTCTTTGCCGCTCTTTCGTCTGCCTACAGTAAAAACAAACTTTTTTCTCTGTGTTTGTGTGTGCAGAAAGCTCTTCCTGTTTGGAGCAGCCGTAACAACAAAAGCAGCAGCGGCAGCAGCAACAACAACAGCAACCATAAAGAGCTAAAAGATTTCTCCCGCTGCTTTGTCTGCAAATGATTTATGCCCCCACCGTTGTGATTAGTCATGGTCTGTGCACAGCGCCACCCTTCTCCCTCTCTGTCCCTCTCTCTTCCGCACTACCTGCCATTTGCACTCTATTCAAATGTCGCCTGTCCGTCTCTCTTCACACCCACGTGTTGCGAATGGCTGTGCGTTGTTCGGTCGTGTGCTTCAAATCTATATCTATTGCCTCTTTTCTATTCTTTGCGTAGGCGCTGCGATACGGCCGTGCCCCCTTCCACTATGCCTCTCCGCCTTTTACGCGCTGTCTTCCTGCTTGCATCTAAATACATGAGATTCACGAACTTTCCTGAAGAAACGAGGGAAGAGAAAAAAGTAAACAACTAGGGAATAGCGCGCGCGCTCAATTGAAAACAAATTGCGCAGGGCTCAGCGCCGCAAATAGTTGTAGTTGCAGTTGTTGTTGTTGTTGTAGCTATACTAATGTGCATTTGAAATAAAAACAAACGCAGCAACAGCAACAAATACACAAACGGAATATGAAAAACAATTACCAAGTGTCTACGAATTTGTTTTTATCGACGCCATCAGGCGCAAATCTTTGCCTCGCCCTCACCTCCTCCCTCGCTGTTGCTTGGAAGTGCGACGGCAAAAAATTATACTTAACAAGTGTGCAGAAAATTGTCGGGTGGGCACGACCTGCGAAATACCCTGCTATTGGTCTAAGTATTGATACTGCTATTAATAATACGGCGATCGATGATTCGCAATTATCGATATTTTTCACCACAATGCAAACCACTTGATCGATAATGTGATCGATAATTTATAGTATAATATATTGGCTACCACATTTACTATACAAACCAGATGTTGCTCATATTGCTCATATTGTTTTTGACGCAGTTTGTCAGATAATCGATAATGTTATCGATAAGTTAAAATAAATAAAATTGTTTCTCCATCCGCGTACACAGCTTGAAATCGTATGCTCATCGGTATGTTATCGATTACCGATAACTCACACAGTTGAATATGTGCTAGGTATCTCTGTATACCCATCATACCCCCTAGTCGCCTACTTAGCGCTATGTGGTATTACGAGTATTAACAAATTTCGCACGACTTTGGTTTTTAGTTGGTGTTGATTATATGGAACTGCGACTGGGGCGCTCGTATTGGACTGCCCGCCCAATCCATTTAAACCATATCGTACAACTTGAGAATATATTGTATATGCATATGTCAGCTCATATATATGTATTTATAAATATATGTATTGACTTGTGTGTAGTAAAAATTATGAAATAGTATTATTGCCGCCGTCGCGTCACTCGCATTGCCAGATGTCATTTGCAAATTGTTTTTGCTCAGGCCGGGCAAAAGGGGGAGAAGGGGTTGGCATCGGCGGCGGGGTAGCGCGAGGTATTAGCCTGTTATTCATATAACACTAATTGAGCACGTTCCAAAATTGTCGTCTAGACTTGAAGCATAAAATCTGCAATGTAAAAATTTTATTATTGCGGAAGCAAATTTCCATTACATTACATTAATTGTTGTTTTTGTTTGTGGGTTTTTGTATGGAGAATTGGAATAGAGGTTCTCAAAAAATATCAATATATCAGGCAACAAATAGACGTATATAAATATAAATAGAAATTGTAAATTTTGTGTAAGGTTAGGTTTTTGGGAAAACATATACGTCCATTTATATAACAACGTTTGCATATAGGGGCCGCAGCGAACCATGAAATAAACTGAACTCAAGGGGGTGGTCAGAAGTCAAAGGGCAGATGGCTTGATGTCCATTTACAGCCAAATTGAGGAAGCATTAAAAAACAAACGTTGACACTTGGCGTTAAATAATTAGAAATTATTGTTGGGCATTTGGTGAGGGTATGAACAGTAGGGGTTTCATTCGAGAAATTCTTCAAAACGTCTTAGATGTCTGTTTGAAAATGGTAGAATTCGAAAAAGTGTGAGATTGAGTTGAAGAATATAAACAAATATTTCAACAAAATATATAAAATTAGTGTAAGATGGAGTTGAAGAATATAAATAAATACAATATTTCTACAAAATATGAAAAATTAGATTGAGGTAAATAAGCTAAGAAAAACCAACATAAATATACAAAAAAATAAAAAAAAAAAAAAAAAAAAATTAAGAATCATTAAACACAAATTTAAGTTCGAATTA